GACGACTCCCGGCCTTTCCGACTTGAAGCAGACAGCTCAGATCATGCGACGGGGGCGGTTCTTTCACAACAATCCGCCCCGGACGGGAAGTGGCACCCTGTAGCGTTCTATTCCAAAAGCTTAAATGATGTCCAGCGCAACTACGAGATTCACGACAAGGAGATGCTCGCGATCATCCGTGCACTCGAGGAGTATCGGCATTTCCTCGAGGGCGCCGCACATCCGGTCGAGATCTGGACTGACCATAAGAACTTGGAATACTTCCGAAAGGCGCAACACCTTAATCGTCGGCAAGCCCGATGGTCGTTGTACCTTTCTAGGTTTGACTTTACGCTGCACCACGTCCCAGGTCGCCAGATGGGCCGTCCCGATGCTCTCTCCCGCCCGGCCCGACCACGGCATCTCCGAAGACAACTCGGATGTCACCCTCTTACGCCCCGAACTGTTCCACGTTCGCGCTTGAGGCCGTCACCGTCTCTGGGCCTGGCTCCGAACTTGTCCGCGACATCAAGGAAGCGCTATCCGGTGAGCCTGACCTAGAGGAGCCCGTCGCGCTTGCGGCCCGGCAACTCTTGAAGGTCCGAGGTCAAGTTCGGGGCCCCCGCTCATCACGTTCGGACGAGTGGGCCGTCTCCGGCGACCTCCTGTACTTCCGCGGCAAGGTTGTAGTCCCTAAAGACAAGGACCTAAGGAGGCGCATCATCGAGCTCTGCCACGATACGCGAGTCGCCGGACACGCCGGGCGGTTCAAGACCTTAGAGTTGGTTTCGCGCAACTACTGGTGGCCGCAGATGTCTCGCCATATCGGACGCTACGTCGCGACCTGCGACTTATGCTGCCGCACGAAGGCCCTCCGAGGCTTCCGCATGGAGAGCTGCATCCGACCGAAGTCCTGCCCGAACGTTGGCACACTGTCACTGTAGACTTCATCGTCGAGCTGCCCGAGGCCCATGGGTATGACGCGGTTATGGTAGTGGTCGACGCCCTCGGAAAGCGTGCCCACTTCACTGAGTGCCATACGACAATAGACGCGGTCGGAGCTGCCCGCTTGTACTATCGGAACGTCTGGAGGCACCACGGAACCCCGAGAAGTACATTTCGGACCGTGGCTCGCAGTTCATCGCTGACTTCACGCGAACTCTGGCGCTTAATTGGCGTCAAACCAGCTACCTCCACGGCTTACCACCCGCAAAACCGACGGACAAACCGAGCGCGTTAACCAAGAGCTCGAGCAGTACATCCGGATCTTCACCAACTACCAACAAGACGACTGGGACGAGCTTATCCCTGCCGCTGAGTTCGCCTATAACAACCACGTTCACTCCTCCACTCAACAGGTACCCTTTATGACTGACACTGGTCGGCTCCCCCGAATGGGTTTCGAGCCAGGCGCCCGCTCAGAGTTGGAGTCGGTGAACGAGTTTCGCGATCGGATAGCAAACGGCGTCTCCGAGGCAAAGGCCGCGCTCGTTAAAGCCAAAGACGAGTATAAACGGTACTACGATCGGAAACGTTCGGACGCTCCGAATATTCAAGTTGGTGATAAGGTTTGGTTAGACGCCTCTGACATTAGAACGACTCGGCCCTCCGAGAAGTTCTCCCACAAGCGCCTTGGACCGTTCAAGGTGCTCGCAGAGGTTAGCAAAGGTGCCTACAAGCTCGACCTCCCCCCGCGTTACTCCAAGCTCCACCCCGTCTTCCACGTTGTTAAGCTCGAGCCCGCTCAGGACGACCCCTTCGATGGACGACCCGGCTACGACGAACCGCCCCCCGAACTAGAGGACGGAGTTCCCGAATGGGAAGTCGAGGAAATCTTGGATGCCAGGATAAGGTATAAGCGTCTTAACTATTTCGTCAGGTGGAAAGGCTACGATGCTTCACACGACTCGTGGGTTCGGTTCGACCGTGTCTTTGCGCCAGACAAGATTGCGGACTTCTATCGGAGATACCCGGGTAAACCACGGCACATCGCCTCAGCAACCTTCGACTCGCTGCCCTTCCGTATTATGCGTCGGGACGCCGCATTCAAAGGGGGGGATGTCAGGGGAACCCCCGCTTGGCCTCCTTCGGACCCTCCGAACGCATCCGAGGCGCATCCGACCGGCGCCCCCTCGGACGCTCCGACCCACCCCGACCATCGTCCACGGCCTCCTTCGCCCGCACAATCACCGATCCGTCAAGACCCTCCCAACGATCACCTTGGGACAGAGCCTGCGACGCCGCTCAGGCCTTCTGCGCTCTACGTCGGCAGTTACGGACGACCAGTATATAGTTGGCGCCCTAGCAGGCGGACCCTTAGAGTTTCTTCTCTTTGGATCCTCCCCTGCTAGGTCGGTCCCTCCGTGTATTTCCCGTAGCTTTTATTCACGCTTTGGATCCTCCCCTGCTAGGCTTTCGTCGGAGTCTCCAGGGTTGCCCTTACAATGATATGGGAACTAAACTAGAGACAGGCTTATATACCCTACTAACTAGTGACAAGCTTTCTCACTGGTGTGAGAAAGAACAAGAAAAGCAAGAGCCCTTCAAACTGCTCTAACTGCAACCAAAGGCTACAGCACAACCAGAGAGGGAGAAGAAGAGGAAAGACTTTGAACTGTGAAGGAAACTCTGCTGGGGGAAACTATATGATATGGGAACTAAACTAGAGACAGGCTTATATACACTACTAACTAGGAGCTAGGAGAAGGAACAGGAACAGGAACTATAAGAAAACATATAGGAACTAAGGAACACATAAAGGGATCAGGAACAACTATCAAATATGGACAAACAAGACCAAACAAGACCAAACAAGCAACAACAAGCCAAAGGCTTGTCACTAGGAAGCTAGGAGAAGGAACAGGAACAGGAACTAGAAGGAACCATATAGGAACTAAGGAACACATAAAGGGAGAGATCAGGAACAACTACCAAACATGGACAAACAAGACCAAACAAGCAACAACAAGCCAAAGGCTTGTCAACACAACATCCTGTGTCTTCCGAGCTGCGAGACTGTGACAAAAGCTAGAGTTGGTAGTAGTAGTAAAAGCTAGTGACGTCAGCAGAGTAGCTTGTTCAATCTGGTGCTTCTGTCAGGGGAACCCCCCCTTTCGGCGCCTCAGAGACATGTCCGATTCTGGTCCGATTCCGATGGCGTCTCCGGTCCGGCCCTCCATCTCACCCGCACAATCACCAATCCGTCAGTGCCCTCCCAATGGTTGCCCTGGGACCTCGCCTGCAACGCCGCTCAAGCCTTCTGTGCCTGACAGCGGCAGCTACAGACAAGCAGTATATAGTCAGCTACCTAGCAGATGGACCCTCAGAGTTTCTTCTCTTTGGATCCTCCCCTGCTAGGTCAGCCTCCTTTGTATTTGCTTACCAATGTTCACGCTTTGGATCCCCCCCTGTTCGGCCTTGATCTCAGGCCTCCGGGGTTGCCCTTACAGCTTCAAGTACATATACTCAGTGTTTATTGCGCTCAGAAACTGAATTTAATAACAAATACTCAGTACTGAGAGGCTGATTTTGCAAGTGTCACACTGACCTGACCTGCACCTGCACGCCAACGTTAATGTTGGACCAAGATTTTTCAGTTTTCATTGCTATATAGAGGGACTTAGATCTGAGAGACAGAAAACTCCTTGAAAACTTGAATATTGGATGTATTATACTGTCATCATTATATTAAACTACTAAGTACAGTACATGAGCACGATGTGGGAATAGAGGAACATGTGCTTCTGCCATGGAAAAGGTGCTGACTGGTGACAGGCCATCAAGTTGAGGCCCAATGTTTGAAAAACAATTGGCTGGGGTGTATGCCCAAATGGAGATGGTGCCCCCAAAAGGGCATACACCACGGAACAGTGCCGACGCAAAGACATGCCAGTGTGAAGGCCGCCCAATTTGGACATCCACCATTGAGCTCAACAACACTGTTTCTGGCCGCAAAACAGCGCATTTTCTCATGGAGATTACAGTGGGTATGTACACTAATCTCTCATCCTTTCCTCTTTTCTCTCCCCTTCTTCCTTCCCATGTGTTTGATTTCTTTTCAAGTTTCACCTAGCCACAGACATAAGCTATAAGCCCTGTAAACAGGTCTTTTCTCCCTTAATATACATGAATAATATCATTAGATCCCTGCACAAACCTATATTTTTGTTAAGGGAATTTAGTTTATATACTGTAATTTTCAATAAAATTCTCAAATTACTCAATAGGTTTACTATGAAATATCATAAAATATTCCCAAACTTGTATCAAGTATGCACATTCAATTTTATGTTTGGTTTAATGATCAAGTAGTCGAAAATATCATCCTAAGTTAATTAACATCTGGATGATCCCATGAATCAAATTTTTTTGGCTTAAAGTTCAGGCAAGCATCAAGATAGCAAGTATAATAGAAAGTGAGAGATGTATATAAATAAATTTATTGTTGTTATTATTCATAATTGGTGTTAAAAGAGTTTGCCTTTAAGACAAGTCAGCAGGACTGAATTGACAACTTAGAAGGTTCGTCATCTGCCGCTTGCGGCTTCCACCACTCATATATGACTTTTCAATACACTTTACCAGGCAATATAATCAATATGTTTTCATTATTTTCATAAAAGGAAGTTTATATCATCCGTGGTCGAACCCCTTTCCATCTGAGGCTGTATTCGGACCAAGGACAGCTTTATTGTGGAAAATGAACTTACCTACTAGCTCAGAACCCTGGTTAAAATGTCAAGCACTTCAGAAGCTATGTTTGGACGGTCATGAATTATGGGTTCAACGTTCAGGCTGGACCATACATGGTCATTGGACACATTGGCCGTCACAAAGCAACGTAGTAGAGGTACATACATACATTCCGCGCAAGTATCTATCTGTACGAGTAAGACGCAAGTAGGTCGCATAGGTAGTAGTAGATAGATCGTCCACATCTCCGATAATATATCAGCAGTCTGTCCTTCCACAGCTCCACAGTTTCCCGGTTTGTGTACTTAGATCCGAATCCGGATCCGCGCCTATATCAGCAAGGACGCCAGCGAAAGGGCCGCCAGAATCACCGCCAGCACAGCGCCTCCCACTACACTCCCTGCCGCATTCGTGTTGCTCGTGTTCGTCTGCCCGCCCGCGCCGGCGACTTGGCTCCCGCTCGGGACTGCCCCGCTAGCGCTCCCCGTCGTCTGCGCGATGGAGCTCGCGCTGGCGGACGCGCTGGCGGAGATGGCGGGGTTAACCGTCCACGTCTTTATAAATGGGATCTCGAAGTATGCGTTGGCATAGTTTGAACCGTTGCCCGCGATATTGGAGGCAAACTGTAGATCGTGACGCATTAAAAGCGAGGGACGAGTTGAGGCTTACGCATGTGCCAGGACAGTCCTGGGCATATATATCGGGGACGCCCGCCCAGAGGCCGCAGAGCGTGATGTCTTGAGAATGGGAGTAAGGTGGGGAGACTGAAACGGAATTGGAGAAGGCCATACCAATGACGAGTTGCTGCGCAGGGAAGAACTGCGTCACGTTGCACCCGCCTGGACCTGCGGGATACGCAGCGCTAGGGAGACCCCAGTCGGTCAAATCAATGGAGGCGGTGGGTGAGGAGGCGGCGGATGTGATGGATTTAGGCATGTTGGGTCGCTACTCGGTTCATAAGCCAAATGAAAGAAGACAGCAGAAGGAGGACAGGGAAAGCGAAGAGGAGCAACAACGCACACTCCAAAACCACATGAATATCCCCGCGGCATCGAATTGGAGGGCGAAGGCGCCGCCGTTCGCATTGTTGAACCCGGTGCCATACGAGTTGGGCTTCGTTTCAGAAACAGTGCAGCCGGAGGATGTCGTGTCGTTGCAGTTATGCTTCAGCGTGTTGCCAAGCTGCGACACGTTTTGGGGCTGGACGCAGCCCGCGTACGAGTGTAGGGCCATTTGGTTATGGTCCATCTACGAGCATAAGTCTCTAGAAACGAAGGAAGCGCACAGCAAACGCACTAGATTGATCGCCTCTATAATATCTATCTCTCCCGCGGATGGCCACACCTGGCCCGGCGCTAGCACGCCGTTCATCCAGATACTCGGCCACACCGAGCATCCAAACGGCATATGCCTGCGCCGCCATCAGCTTGGCGAAACACATTGGCGCAATTAACGCACAAGACATCGATAACGATGAGGCTGCCCACGTCGAAAGCGTCCTTGGTGGTGAGGCGAACGGACTTGCGGTTCTGCACGGTGCCGGCGTTAAGGACGGTGGTGGTGTTGTCGACCTTGAGGATGGCGTTGCCCCGCCCGTTGACGTATGCTAACGACTCGGCGGTCGCATCGGCGCGGGTAACGTATGAGACGTTGCCTACGGATGGGCGAGGAGCGTTAGCCGTGAGTGAAAGAAACAACGAGAGGGCGATGGAGCAGGAAGGAAGGAAGCTTAAGCTTTAAATAATGGAAGGATAAAGACAGAAGGATAGACGAGAGGGAAGGAGCGGCAACGGAAAGACAGACTCACCCCAGGTGGTATTGTCTATCGCCCCGTAAAAGTCGAATCCGTCGAAGAACGTCGTGCCCGAGTACGTGAAGAGCGGGTAATACGCGGCCCTCACCCCGCTCGCCAGCCCCAGCCACGCCCACGCCCACACTCCCCACGGCCCCACAAGCGTCTGTCGTCTCGGTCGTATTCGTATTCGTCGTGTCATTCGTGCGGGTCGTAGCTTGAGGAGAAATGTTCAGCGCAGGCCCGTGGGAGGCTTTGTGGGCGTACCAGACGCAAGGTCGCTCGCTTGCCCAAAGGCAGATGGGAGGGAAGGAGAAGAAGCGGAGGGCGATGACGCGCATCGGCACATCACGGCGTCAACAACACGTGCCTGGGAGAAGCGCGTCTTGCTTTCCCCGGATGGGAAGTATGTCCCACGCTCATTCTCCGGCCGATGACAACGCCGAGATGAGCGAGCGATCATGGCGCGGACGAGTAGTGGACGAGTGTGATCCAAACAAAGGCAAAGCACAAGTCTGGTTGAGGGACCAGCTAAAAGTTTGCCAAAAATCTTTTTTCTTGTTTGCTGTGTCCCCGATCGATGGCGATGGTCGCAGATATGAGTTTATTCTTGGCCGCAGGACAAGAATAAGTACTTGGGCTTGATTCCGCAGCAAACGTGATACGCTGTTAACGACGGTGTGCCACAAGATCCTTAATTAGGCTCACAGCCATTTGGCAGGAGAATAAATTCCACAGTGAGTCAATGACAAAAGTAATGACCGCAATCGTAATCACAATGAAGTCCATGCGTAAACACGCCAACTGGAAAGTAAAGCGACAAATGCCGCTCAGGAGCTCGAAAAGTGGAGCCAATCGTTAAAATTCTTATACGGAACGGTGCTCCCCGTGGCCGTCCAGTCAAGAATGGGCTCCCACCAGAACTTGGCCACATCATCGACCCTACAAATGCGTCTATCAACAAGCCTAGAACGCGTAGGAAGAAACGCACTGTGGCCACTGTGTAACATTCGCCGTCGACATGGCCGCATACACGAAGTCGATGAAGTTCTGCTGCGTCATGGAGTCGCTGCTGGAGCCGACAATGCTGCTCCAAATCTACAAGAAAAAAAAGCCGTCTAATTCGTGTGTTTGGAACAGCGGAATGTACGAACAGCGCCAGATAAGTTTGGAATCGCGGCGGCAACCTTAACGTTGGGGTTCTGGCACTGGTTGAGCGTGATGACGGAGGAGGTCTACGACAAACAGAGTTAAAACCAGACGCATAGACATGATGGATGTACACATACGCCTTGGCACGCGGCGGCCGCGACACATTGGACATGACTCCAGATGCTGGTACCATTCTCCTGGAGGCAGGAGCTAGTCTATATTCTTGTGAATGACAATTTAAGCCCGACTTCTTCGTAAAACGCACCACGGAGGCACACCCCGAGCTGTAAATGGTCGGGTTGTTATGCATGCCGATGTACTTCTCGAAACTGATACAGTCCTGCGCAGGGACCGCGACGCGGGACTCGACGATAACGGAGGCGGCGGCGGCCTGGGCACATGATGCAGCCAAAGCAACGAGAGCGAAGAGAGAGCGAAGAGCCATTAGAGGGAATGTGAGGTGTGTCTTGATTAGAAAAAGATTTGGAAGGAAGTGAGTTGAACGCGAGTTTTGAACTGTCTTTTATGCGCAGCAGCCGTGGACTATAATTAACACGCACCTCCTAGCAACCCCGATTAACGACTTCCGGAGGACATCATGCGTAATTGAGACTTACACAAGGCGTCGCGGAGGGATCTGCACGTCGATGAATGCGGGTAACACACTCCCGGCCGACGTGCGACTGTTTGCACGGCCTTGGCACGCTGAAGGGACGACAATCGAGCTACAGACGCTGGCCGGGAGAGTTATGTCCGGCGTCGCTGACTCGCCGTAGAATTGAATCGCCGCCCAGTGACAGGAGAGTTGGGCACGTTGGAGAGGCGTAAGCGGGGCGTAGGACAGAGCAATGCGTTTCATGTGGCGAAAGGAAGGAAGATCATCATCAGTGCCATCGGTCGATGTCACCTCGTGTTACCGTCACGCTATCCAGGTGATGGTCACGATGACGCCATCCATGATGCAGAGACCAGTCAAGAGCGAGTGCAGCTTTAGAGTTTGCGCTGTCCCGGGGCACGAAATAAGCGTTGCCCGTGGGATGCAAGAATTCCGTGGAATGAGTCGGACTTCCGGCGCCTTCGCATTTGTCCGGGTACTCGGTGCGAGGACAGCGATGGCTCAGAGCCGAGCATCGTGTTTATGGTGCGTATGAAACCGCAGCACGACGTTGTAGCTGAAGGTTCAATGAAGGGCTTGAATTCAAGTAGATCCCATTACTATTGTCAGCAGAAGATTCGGTTTAAGACATCCCGTCTGCCAAAATATCGCTGTGCAAGTATGGTCATAGTCATTCCATTCGAAGGCCGTTAGCAGGTTTTAACGGGTGAACCATTCACCACATTCCCATAATCCAGGTATTCATCAGATTCCGAGGACGACAATCGTGGGACGTTTACCGTTTTAGTCAGCGGCTTCCCACCTTTTTGCTTCTTGCGGTCATGTCGACCTCCCGTTTTCGTTGCAGCTCCATTCTAATGGCGGCATCGAGGCGAATCCGCAGCCAGGGCTCTGCAACTTGGACACACTAACCATGGCGTGGGGTCGCTATAAGTAGGCCGTCGACACGCCTCCACTGCATATTGCAATGTCGTACCAATTCCCCCCTTCCAGCGGCGGCTCTGGATCTGGCTCCAGCTCATCCAGTGGTCCTGGCTCTGGCTCATCTGGACCAGGGCCATCCTCTGGCTCAAGCCCCATCTCTCCTAATACCGTACTTTCCTCCCCGCCACTTAACTTCGTCGAGATCAAGGCCCGAAACCATGGACTCGTTATGACGATTGGCTTCCTCATCATGCTTCCAATTGGTGTCTTAGTGGCGCGGTACACTCGCACATATACCAGACAGTGCGTTGCTGGTGTGCCATCTCAGCAGCGTTCCTGACCTCTATTCCAGCTGGTTCTGGTCCCACGCTGCCATACAACTCGTCCTTTCCGGCCCCTTGATCTTCTATGGATGGGCGGCGGGTAACAGCCTCGCGCGCGAGCTCGAAGCGTTGAGTCTCCATGACACGCACCAGAACATCGGCGTAGCGCTGCTCGCGATGTACGTCACGCAGCTGCTCATCGGCGTTGTCGTCCACTTCTTCAAAGTCCCGCGCCTCTTTTTGGGGCGGCCTCATCCACCGTGCTCCCTGGAATTACCTCCATGTCATTCTCGGCCTAAGCATCCTCGCGCTGGCCGCCTTCCAGGTACCCCTTCGATGCCATCTTTTAATGCTACATTGCTCACCCCCGGGCCTTCACAGGTCCATTACGGGCTGCAGACGGAGTGGCCGCTGTTCACTGGTGGCATCCACAAGATCCCGGACTCTGCCTTCAACGCGTGGATGGCGCTCATCATCGTAAGGTGTCGTCCCATTTCAAGGCTGCCCCTCTGACAATTCGGTGTAATAGGTATTTTGGGTGCTCTACGCCGCGGGATTGCTCCTACTTCCCCGCCAGTTCAAGCAAGAATCCACTGCCCGCGCCGCAATGACAGGCACCGCCGCCGCCAAATACGAAAACGATCTTGGGGCGGAGGAAGATGGCAGGAAGGACGCACGCATGGGTTGATACGATAGTGGAACTGCACATTACTTACCTGAACCCTCAGGCTATGGACGAACCTTCTAATATAAGGCATGAGAGTCTCGGAAAGAAAACAGAAAATCAAAAATAGATAAGAGAGTGAGAAAGACTTTAAGGCCTGGTTCCATAAAAATTTTGGACAAGGCAGTCTGTATCCAGGGTCATACACATATTTATGATATATTTCTTTTTTTAACTTCAACTACTATCAATGGTGGTCAATTTTCCTCCAATGTTTACTCTCTCAGGCACATATTTATATTTTGTGAAAATTTTGAATACATTTTTTTGGAGTGAAAACTTGAATTTGAACTTTTTTTTCAGAAACCTTTGCCTGAAAAATGTCAGAAAAGAAAACTTGAGCTTTTTACCTGATTTTTAGGCAATTCCGGTGATCACATCACTGCCTCCATCAGGTGTATCACCCCACCCTGGGAATCCCCTGGGACCTGGCTCAGACATACTGCTCAGAGCAATGATCATACTTGGTGTGTCAAGAGTGCAGTATGAAGTTCAGCTACCCAGCAGGCAGACCCTCAAAGTGAGACACCACCCCCAGCAAGGGCGGGGGGTGATGACCCCCCCCATTCTTCCAACCCCTTCCCCTTGCCCCTACAGGCCCTACACACTGCCCATCCGATCCGACCTGGGGCCTACTAAGCACCCATCTGATCCTATTCCTAATACTTACCCTAGCATATAAAAGCTGTACATACAGGATGTAGTCGTTAGGCTAATATTGTCTATTCTCCAGGCTAACAGAGACAAAAACTGGTAATTTCACTTTGGATGGCAAATTCTTTATTTTCAAAGGAAGTGTTGCCGGTACCAGTAGTTCTATAGAATAGCCAAAATGTAAAATCACTAACCTGAGTAGTATCTGCAGCAGATAGGATATCTTTATAGCCTTTATAGTCCACCTCCAAGCTTCGTAGTCAAATATGGTACAATTTATACTGTACTATTTCGATCAGGTGTACATGCGGTCGCAGCGCGGACACCTGTGGCCTCCGTTACGCATTTGTGGCCGGATTGCAATCAAAAACAGCCCTAACAAGGCAATTTTTCGTTCCGGTTGTCAGCTAGAGTTTCCTTTTGTAGTAACCCGGACACCTTGTTCAGCAGACACCTTCGTTACACATTACACCCCCCGGACAGTTGATCGAAATAGTACAGTAGATGTAAGGAAAAGATGTTAGAAGGTACAATATTGCCCTCTGGAGTTTACCGTGATTTTGCCTCCCAAAAATTCACTTCTGACTTCATTCACCTCAAGAATCCCTCACAATATTCTCCACCGACCACACTGAGATACTGAGTGCTTGCATGACGACAGCTTGTTTCATTTTCATGCCTTTGTGCATGTGTAGAGCATGTTCCTTGATGATGGGGATATATTGCTTATGCAGCATGTTGGTTAAGGTGGAAGTAGTAGCCCTGAGCCATTGGTGATGAGTGGGGGGTGGTAGAGAGGGCATAGACAAAAAAGGAAATACTTATCGCGGCATGTATAAACAACTACAAATAGATTGGAGCGTCTAACGAGCTCCACAACCCACCTATAATTATGAAAACAGCTGTAATACATAACACACTCTGTTTGCAATAACACGTAACAGGTTAAAATCTGACCTGGCTGCAGTGATAGATTATGAATTTCTTTTATGCTTTACAACAAAATTAGCTATTTCCCATAGGTTTAGGGCAAAAAGAGCTGATAAGGTAGCACTGAGAAAACTTTAGGAGTGTCAAGATGCTTATCACGGACATGGGGTAAGGGAGGAGGTCCCAGAAGGGGTGGAAAAAACTTTTGCTATATAAAGTTTAGGGGAGGGGGGGGGTTCTGGAAGGTTTGGGGTTGGTTTTGCACAAGATTTGTAGTATTTTAGCATAGAATACACAGTGGGTATACAGAATGCCTACTAGTTTCTAATGGGAAGGCTTTCAGCACCTTACTTACAGTGGCGGCAAAATCAAATGTCTTGCCTTTTTTGGTAAGATTTTGATTGCAAACTTCCAGTCCATTGTTGAGCAAGAAACATAGCACGGTCGCAAGGGGGGTTCAAGATCCTTAGGGGAAGGGGGGTCCCTAGGGGTAGCAAAAAAAACTTTTTGTATAAAGATTCTTTGCAGCAAATATAGGTCCATATCCATTAAAAATATATAACACTCACTGTATGTTACCCCGTTGCTCAAGTTATACCCTCATATATGAAGAATTCAAGATTCTTGGGCTTAGATAGGTGCAGGGATTGTTGTCATCTAGTTATTGATAGCAGGTGACTATTCTTAGCTCAGTCATAGCTTATCCATAGTGTTAAAGAGCTAAAAGTGAGTCTATAAAGATATATATATATATATATGTATTCATGTGAAGTTTGTCTAAAATGTCAATTTCTGTGCCACTTTTGATCTCATTATTGGTCACCTGATTCAAGATCTTATCTTATCGTGGGAATATATTACCCGATATAGTAAGGGAGGGGGGAGGGGGGTTCTGGAGGGTTGGAAAAAAAGCAATCCGACCCTATATCCGGGATTCAAATCTTGAACCCCCCTTGCACGGTCGTCAGTCCAAGCCTTGTACTTGTGGAACATCTGCTCTTGCTTTTCAAAGTGTGTGGCCAGCAGGTTGGGCTTTGTGGGCTTTACGAAGCTTTCAAAACCACGACGGGTAAGGAGTGAGTGTCGCACCTGTGAAGCCCATTGAGTCAGTTAGAAAGCAATTCAAGGTGGTATTGTTGCGTACTGTGCGTTCAAGAACGTCTGGGAATAGCCTGCAGCTCTCCCGACTCAAGCTTCGCGACAGCTTCATCCAGATTTTCATCATTGATCTTCTTCTTCCTCCCACACCATCCCAGCTTCCCATTGTAGTAGAAGTCACCCCCATGATCCTTGACATGCTTGACATTGGAAGCATGCAAGGTTGGATGCCTTTGAATGGTATGCATTTCACGATCTCGGTGAATGGCATGCCATTTTCGTTAAGAAGCTGGGCCTGGGCACGCTTTTTTGGGGTACATTTGGGTGGCCTTTGCTCTGCTGCAAGCTGCTGAGATGTTGTAGGAGGGTTGTCAGCCATGCAGTGGCGAAAGGAGGAGAGAGGAGGTGGAAGGACGTGTCACTGATGGGAGTTACCAAAAAAAGACATTTGATTTTGCCGCCACTGTAGGGTGCAGTGTGACTACAGTGTGACTAGTGTTATAAATTTATCATTGCTGATTCATTACATGTAGCCTTGGATGGCCTACAAGTGACTACTGACCCATTTCCTTCAATTAGGCGGGTCATGGTCACATGGGATTTTTTGGCCGAACTATTTCGGCGGGTCACGGGTCACAGCCAAATCTTTTGGTCCCAAAGTGTCCCAATTAGGATAATTTTCAAATTTTCCGCTAGGGGTTAGCGCCAAATTTCCTAATCAGGTAATAAGTCACGCAAAATTCGGCCTGCGGCTGAATTAAACATTTTGGCCAAACGGTCACGGGTCACAGGCCCGCTGAATTGATCGAAATAGGTCAGTATTCAAACTATAAGTAACAGTATTTTGAGGAATTTAACTGGAAATATGAATTTTATCACCACTTTTGATTGCATCATCAGGTTACGAATCGTAGGCATATATTACCCAATATGATAAGGGGGGTCCTAGAAGGCCAGTAAAATATCCAATTTTCGAAGAATGACACCCCCATACTACAGGGACATATGTTGAGAGCAAAAATACTTAGTAAGGCCAATCAGCAACTCACAGGGCTGTTTCTAAAAAAAATTCTTTACACAAGTTAGTGGCAAAAGTTGAAGTTTCATTGCAAGTTTTTGTCTTCACAAACCTTGAAGTTTTGGACTCAATTTCATCCCAAGAAATACTGTCACACTGAGCTTTTGCAAAGAAAAAACAGTAACAGTTTGTCCCTTACAAAAATTTGGTGTGACAGTTTTTTTCCATAACAAACCTTTACAAAAATCAGTTGTGACAGTTTTCCCTTGAAAAAACTCTTTGTGACCATTCTTTTTTTAGATTTTTTCCTTTGAGAAACTTGTCATTTTTTCGATGGTTTCTATACAAAGAAATCTTTCCATTTTAGTGCAACTTTTGTCTAGGAAAAAATTCCGGAAACGGCCCTATATGATTGGCCTATTCTATTTGCCTTAAAATAGAAACCCTCGGAAATTTCCACAAGTTCTGTAAAATCTGGTTAAATTCTCTTGATTTGAGATTTCTCAGAGAGGTAGTTTCTGATAATGCATGCAATCACAAGCGATGAAGAAATTTTAGAACACTACTATAAGGCTAGGAAGTTCAGCCTGCTAACAGTGTACATAATCTGGACCTGTCTGTCCAACTGAAATGATACATAGGGCCTTGGAGAGCTTGAGAGGAAATTAGGTTTTGACAAGCATTGATTCAAGTGGGCACATATTTAAAGATTTACTAAGGAATGATCAAAAATAGAAAACAAACAGTGTCCAGTGAAATGAAGCATCCTAGCGGGTGTAAGCATCGAAAAAAAGAACCAAAACTGAAGGTCCTATGGATAAACATATAAAAACTTAAACTGCCTGGCTGGTTTAGGGCTGTTTTGCACGCGGCTTGACGCGATTCGTACGGAGTTCGACCGGTCGTGGTCTGCCATTCAGACGTTCATAGCAGCCGCAGGCGTTGCACACCAGCTCGCTATTCTTGTTTCTCCGCCACACGCTTGTGCGCTGCGTGCCGCAGTGCGTGCAGGTCGGGCCGTCAACGGGGCCCTCCGGGGCAGCGAGCTCGGCGGCATCGGCGTCGATGAGCGCCTGAGGGCGATCCTGATGCCGTTGCTGGGCGTAAAGGCCACAGGCGTTGCACAGCGAGCGCTGGGTCCCGGGCTCGCGCCGCCAGAGGGGTGTACTCGTGGCGCCGCACCGCGCACACCGGCGGACGCCAGGATCAGGCGCGGAATTACCGACGGGATAGGATGGGACGGATGGGTAGTGATATGCGGGGGGTCCGCTGACGTATGGGTCAGAGGAAGAGTATGGAGGATCCTCCGGCCAGGTATGCTGCTGGTTAAAGTACCCGGACGGATAATTTGCCGGCGGGTAGTTGTAATTGGGAGCGCCGAGCAGATTTCCTCCGTAGTCGATGAATGGTGGCGCAGGGTAGCTGTTCGGTGTGAGTTGCGCAGTTGGACTACCGCCTTGGGGTTGGAAGTTGTATTGGAGCGGCGGATGCGGATTTGCTGGCGGAGTTGGGTCTAAGCGACCATGAGCATTAAAGCCACAAATGCCGGTTATTGCCACTCACTGGACATCCCCGCACCGGCGAGAGAGCTGTAGGTACTGGTGATGTAGTTAGCCCGCTTCATGGTTCGTATCAATGCTACAACCCCTTGGAGGTGGGCGCACCTTTTATACAAGCCCTGAGGCTGGGATAGCCTGTAGATGCTGTCCCTCAGGCTCGTCACGGTCGGTGCCGCCAGCCACAACTCAAACTAGTGAATGTGCTTACTGGCAGTTGAGCAGTTCGACAGCAGAGGCAATAAGGATACAGCCCACCAAGTATGATGAATGTGCGAATGTGCCTAATTACTATTTGCTTTTTACAATTGTGGATCGGCACGAGGGAGCCAGCGGAGTCGACGGGCGAGAGAATGAAGGGCTCTTGACGGGATGTGATCAAAACAAGTTAATAGAGAACGAGTGACGTGCCTGTCATATGTCTATTAAGCACCGTCCATCGACAACTTTCCGTGGACATGTGGCTGGTGGGTGGAGGATCAGCGTGCCTTACCCTGCGTTTCGTTGTTGGGCACGGTCAAGGCCGTTTGCGTTGCTTGCTTGCATCCAGCAAGTCCTCAAGGAGCGTAAATGATACCGTTGGCTCCATGATTGTCGCTGGGCAGCAGAGGAACGCCCGCTAAATCCGCCTCGAAAGGTGATCTTGATTTCCGGGTACATCCGAACGCCGTTTCTTGACGCCTGGTTGCGCTGCCGGCGCCTCGCCCACGGATGATTAATTTCTAATTGTAATCAGGATCGTTGCCCTGCATTGGAAAAGAGACGACACACTTGAGCCCAGTCCACATTCGCACAACCCAAAACTTCAGGGCGGAAAGGTATCAGACAGCCAGGTGGTTGTCAATGACCGTTTCCGAACTATCGAACGAGCGGTGCCCATGATTGATCCCGTCAAGAACATGAAACGAGCGCGGTCGGATGAAATGTTCTGTCCGAATCCAATAGACATCGAGGACATGATCTTGTTCCGCCGATAATTTTTAATCAAATTATCGCCGAAACCCTAAATTCGGAGGAACTCGGAAATTCCCACTGTGCGGCGGGAAAAAATGATTAAATCCGACGGGATTCAGCAGAAAGTACTTACTCACTCTTAATCTCAGCTCGGATTGAACCCTACAGCCATCGATGTGTCGCCGTTGGACATAGGCTATCACGGATGTCGACCGCTGACTGCCAGTGTGCGGTGATTCTGCGGGCGGGAACGGAGATCTGCAGCTCTTCCGTGCCTAACAAGTGCCTGAAAATATCAAAAGCGGGGTTAGCACCTTGAGCAACACCGGCGTCAGATATGAGGTCACCGACTTGTCACCGACGACGATGTACAGAGCTCGAACAAGGCCACCAGTGCCTCAGGACGACAAAAGACGCGTCTCGATACGTGGTTAGTGTCTAACAGTTCGGTGGCACAGCCCCAACACAGCTGCCGTCGAACGGAAAGGTGAGAAAGCGGCACGCATCCCTGAGCCATCCACGTTATGTTAGACAACCAGCGCGACGCCCAACGCAAAGGACATGCCTTGGCAGTAGCGCGCTTAGGATTTATGGCCTTGAGGAGAACCCTCGCATGTTGAGCATATTGAAAGGCGTATTGCAAAGGAGAGAAACCGTAGGGTCCGTGGAGCAGCTTGGAGCCAGGACTTCGTCGTGGGCAAAAGGAAGTGACGTGTCGCCTGTCGGTGACGTGCGGATGCGCATCACATCGTGATCCGAGTCGACCCGGCGGCCTCTCCAGTCGGCTTTGTCAGCTGCCACGTCTCCAGAGATCTTTCACCTTGCTCAGCGAGTTCAGCTATCTACGCGCAATCCATGGCCAAAGACAACCGGAACCTGAGCTCCTGTGTCGAGTAGGCTGGACTTCAAGCGGGTCATCTAATTCTCGTAAGTTTCGGTAAGGCGGTACTCAGGCTCACCTTTTTCTTCTATTTCGCAGGGAGAAAACTAGGATTGCTGGATCCCGCCGAGTATTTCGGACTCTCTCGTATCATGCATCAGCATCAGGGCTTTCGACGGCTCCGCCTCCTGGTATAATCAAATATCGCCTGCTCCATGTGGATGAGCGGGACGGCTGCAATCGGGCATTGTGTGCGGTCAGCGCGCCGCATGTCCCTCGACATTTTCAAGTTCTTCCGAGCGTACAAATACCGGACTTCACATTGGCAATCCAATGGAGACTTTATGGCATTGGTGACAAACGAATTCGCAATGGCCAAGGCATGGACAAGCTAATGCGTCACGCGCGTACCTGAATCAAAGAGAAGATTTAAACTGCCGCCGCAGATCCCTGATGGAAAAGAATCTCCCCGCAGACAAGACTATATAGCTTCCTCGACAAATATCATGCATCCCCTTCCTTCTTCGAGTCCGCCCCCTCCTACAACCCCGCTGCGATGTTCGATATAGCTGTGGACACACCCACTGGACGCATAGTATTTAACTATGTCATCTCTACGCCCAGCAAAACCGCTGTTGCCACGTTGGAGGACACGGAGAAAGCACTCCCCACAGTCGTCTTCCTTCACCCAGTGTACATAGGAAAGCTAATCTACCACCGTGCGTACGTTCAGGAGTCCGCTTAGAGCTGACGTCGATACTTCTCCTCCAGCCCAATTTGCTGACCGGGAGCTCCGGCGATTCAATCTCGTTGCCGTCGATTTGCGGTTCCACGGAAAGACTGTCGGGCGAGCGGGAGAGGGGTACGGGCGGGAGGTTGCTGCACGGGATGTCGGGCTGTTCATGGTGCTACTCGTTTCCGACCGTCTCTGCTGCCGACTTCCTCACCCACATGGTGTTAGCAATCCCTATCGATCTCGCGGTACCACATCTTCGGCATGTCGATGGGCGGCTGTGTGGGCCTTCAAACGGCCATACTCTTCCCGGAGGCCGTCCAGTCCGTCTTCGTCGTGTCGAGCCTTCCGTTGACAGAGGTGCGTCATCCCGCCGTCCCCTCAAGTGTAGCCTCATAGATCCTCCATTTCAGCCCCCAGACGTCGCGGAGGGTCGGCAAGAAATCTACGACTGCTGGGCTGAGGGTTCGCGGCATATTTGCAGCGGGAGTGATGACGGATTAGACGTCGAGGGGAGTGCCATACGAGATGCGTTTCAAGGGGCCCTGCAGCTCTCTTTGAACGGGGAGCCCACTAAAGTTTTCACCGCGTGAGTCGTAATCCATCTGAATGATTGACCATCTTCATACCTGCTCAGCATGCTCCAACGCTCTGCACAACTCCTCCGCATCGACGAGCCCTGGCCGGAAGAGCGCCTGGACGACCTCCGCATCACATCCGTGGACTTCTTTGTCAAGAGGGAAGCGTATACGGTTGCGGCATTGAAGAATATTCGCTGTCCAGTCCATTTGGTAAGTGCTCACACAAGCGCCACGAATTATTTACATGGTACGGCGTAGATTCATTGCGCAGCTGATATAGCGTACGCATTGGACACGACGGAGGAGGTTGCAAGCCGTCTGACCGCTGCTGGGGTACAAGTCGAGGTGCAGCAGGTCTCGGGGGCTCCGCATTTTGGGTCGGTGACACATGCCAAAGAGTGCGTACTCTCCTTCATATAACCCAGCTGTTTCTCATGGCGGAAGCAGAATCAATAATGTCTTCCATCGCTTTGTCGCATCTTGCATCCCCACGCCACTTCCGCCGATACCCGACAGTGCAGAGTCGCCGTTCACAGGCGAGTTGGCAGCAATGTCAGTCGATAGCGACAGCGACAGCGATCGTGAATTCTTCATATAGTAATAGCACCCTTATACATCCATACAGTACTTATTTACACAGTATCATTCAGCATCGTAAAATAAAAATTGAAGTACATCACAAGCCCAAGAAATTGAGACTAACGCCAATAATCCCAGTTCAGATTCGCCGCCAGGTTCAAAGAAAGGTCGCCGACGCCGTTGTTGGCGAAGTCCAGTCCGAAATCCAGCTCCATGTTAGAGTAGCCAAGGTCGAAGGGTGGCATGTATGGCGCATCCGGGATCGGCTCTGGACCCAGCATTGCTTGTAGGAAGTCTGGCAGGGGAATCGAGTCGTCCTCGAAGACGCTATTGGTGACGGAGTCAAGGAATAGATCATCCAAACTAGTGGGTAGGGGTGACATTGAATTTGAAGGATGGCCCATACTATCAAAGTCCAGAGAGGCTGGCGCTAAAGACGTGGTGAGATTAGTGATAACACTCGGCTCCGTGAGGTTGTCGGGTGGTGTTCGGTCTTTAGAGTTGTCTCTGGCCGCCTCTCCAGCCCGTCGTTTTTCCAGAAGGGGTCGGATCTGCTCTATCAACAGGTTCCGGAGGATATTCCCCATGAGATTTCCCGTCTGCCATGTCTGTCCGATCTCGCCGAGATACTGGATGCAGAGCTCAACTTGTGTGAGCGCCGTGCGGAGCGATGTTGACGCGATGCGGCTGCGGGTAGGAGAAGTCGAGTTGGCAGCAAGCAACAAAAAAGACAGTCCCAGCCGAGAATACAGATTGCGCCTGCAAATAAGACCAGATGAGACAAAGTAAAACCAAACACCGTAAGTCACTTACCAGGGTGACCTGAGAGAACCGCAGACCATAGAGCTTTCGCCACGCTTCCAGGAGCTCCATGATATTCTCTGCTGCGCGTTTACACAGCTGTCAATGGTGCTTAACCACACAAGTCATATTTCAAAAAACAAACCTTAACATGGTCTACTTGCGGGTCCGATCCATGCGCGGGGCGCAGCTTCTGGTGGAAGAACGGCCGATGCAGCAGAATGAAGCACCACCAATATGCAGCATGCATCATCAACCTGTGCGGCGTTGACGTCTCCCGCGTAAGTGGCGTAATATCGACTTCTGCTTGCAACTGTGATTTCCATGTATGAAGTTGTACACTGAGGAGTTTCTTCAGTATATCCGCAAAAAAACGAATGTGAGACAAAACAGACTCGATGTCGGTGATGATTTTGTCCGCGACTTCCTGCCGGGTTGCCTTCCGGCCCAAATTGTTGCTGTAAATGTCATCAACAGCGACCCGTGGTATAGCTCGAACGACACGCACATTACTGCCATGATCTTTGTCGCGATAAGCAAGAGATCACACGTCGCATCGTTCACCTTGCCTAAGTAATTCGGCTGCGCGGGCTGCTTCGTGCCACCTGGCGGGCAGGCATAACTGACGGGGGCCTCATCGAGCTCGTCGAACCATCCTCCTTCTCCAGAGACAGGTCGCAAATACTTCGCTGAAGGTGGTGCCGGGACAGTCAAGTCACGACCGACATACAGGGACCAGCAGACATCCTGCGTGAATGTAATCCAGTACGTCCAGTTGCGGTCGACCATATCTGTCTTCGTGATAAGACCAGAACGAACCCAGGGAACGGTGTCGATGGATAGGCCCAAAGACTGGCTGATGCGAATACTCATCCCTGGCGAGAAATTAGTCGTGTCCGTGAAGGTCAAACCACTCCTGACCGAAATAAGTCCAGCCCAACATCATTTCTCCGTGGCTGGAGTGGAAGCTTCCCACGATAGCTAGTGCATTAACGACGCTGATGTCGGGCCGGGCGACCTCAGCCTCAATGAAGCTCTTCGCATGGGCGACGATGGCCCGTCGGGCAGTGACGGACCGTACTTTCGGGTCATCAGAATAGGCAGAGCCGAGGGCCAGGAGGGCGTTATGCAGCATGGGGGAGTAGTGTGACGTCTTCAGCTTGTGCGGGTATGGATCCGGGTGGGTTAGATAGCGGTACATATCTCGAAGGAATAAAGCGGGCACGATGCGCATACACCAGGAGGTGAAGAACTTGAAGACGAGGTCGAGTAGCCGGTCGTGTTCTTTGCGATCGAAAAGGATGTCATGCGGAAGATACCGTGACCAGTCAAATGTGGGGTCGCACTGGGATTCGTCCACGCCTTCAATCATCAGAATGTAAGAGCCGAATGTGGCCGCCGGAGAGGGGGCAGGACGCGCAGTAGTCGTCGAGGAGAAGCGAAATGGGGTAGTGATTCCATGGAACAGCAAGTCGCGATCTTCGAGCTAAATGCCATAGTTAGAACGGAGAGTACACCCTGGAAGGGCCCACCTTGAGCTTAGCTGTGGGCACACACAATTCTTGTGTAATGTCCGTCTGGTTCCGCTCGTCCGAGGGTTCTTCTTCGACCGCCTCTTCGTCCACACCAACTGCTGCGTCAGCACCTCCTCCCTGCGACGATGAGCCATAGCCAAAAGCAGTCCGACAGCGACATGTGGCAAGCTGCCTCTCCAGCAGCCGGGTATACGACTCCAAGGCGTCGGCACGCTTCCTCAACGCTTCGAAATGGGCTTCGGTGCGGGGTTTGCGAACAGGTTGCTTCGTCCATGCACACTATCAGAAGTTATTTAAGATAAATCCCCATTAATGTGCATGCGAATGGGGGAACAGACCTCCGCTTGGCGCTTGGAAGAGACACACTGTCCACATATATCCTTGAGACCGTCACAGCGTATCTTCCTATATCAAGGGTCAGTTTACGAATAGGAGAGGGGGATCATTCGCTCGCAAGACACACTTCGCACGGCAAACATCGCAAGCTTGCAACGTATATCGCGCTCTCGTTCGAGAAGAAGTGCTGGAGCTCTTGCGCATCTCCTCGGGGGTGAGTATCGACAGCTTGAGTAGCGTTGGAAGCAGGCTTTATCTACTCCCCAAGCGACAGGCACAGCGAGGTCATAGTCAGAGTCGAGTTCCGTGTCTCTTCCGGTGGCGGTGTCGCTCCCGACACGTGCACCTTTCCACCGTCACGTTTTAATCATCAAATCATCAACACGCGGATGACTACCCGCCGCGGGGAACAAACTTGACGCTCATCACAGTTGCGGGCCGCATATTAACTAGTCAACATTGTAATCACCGTAGAAGGTGTTGTCCTTCCACAATTCCAGAGGTTTGTTATCATCTCGACATCTCCATCTGGCAGTTCTGGATCAAGAGGAGTATTTTAAAGCCCGGACTCTCTTATAAACAGTGGGGACTTGAGAGGATGAGCATCATTTTGGTCTTCCTTACTATGACAAAGATCACTGGTACCTTTGCCGCTTTTGTTTTCCTCAGTGCTGTTTATACAGGTGTACTGGGGGAAACACATACAATCAAATTTGACAATCGGTGTGTGTGGACCACTTTCCTTATATCATAACTGAATACTGATATAATATACAGTTGTAAATTTGGCACTGTCAGTTCACTTAATATCTTTAGATTAAGTTGAACAACTATTTACAGCCTCAACTTATACAAGGACCAACCGTGCTTTCCAGTGGAGGTTGGCCATTTCTATCACACTCTAAGCTCAGACCCTAACATGTTTGTGCTAGGAGATTATACTCATGATGGTCCCATCAGAGCTGCTATTGCATACCTGCAAACTGGTGCATGTGGCTTCAATGGGGAGGGTTGCACAATGGTTGAGACAAGCCTTGTGAATCCAACCACCCCTGGCTCTGGCTCAAGCACTGATATTACCCTTATTTCTCCGTATGTGGTGATCAAGTCTTGCCACTGCCCAAGTTTTACAACTTTACAGTCATACATTCTCTGTTACCACAGGCTTTGGATATTTCAATGGTTGTGATGGGGCTGGAGCAGACTGTATGTATTCTCTCTTGACATTATCACTTATACAAGAAATCACCATACTTTATATAGGTACCAATGCTAATTGTCCCACTGCATTCCACAAGCCAAGTGACACAGGTGTCCAGGTTCCCTGTCAGAGTGACAATGTTAACCTTGTGGTACTGTATATAGTCTTTGAGGAAAACCATAATCTGATATATCCCTAGATTACTTTCTGTGATTAAAGTGTTTAAGATCTATGCAATGGATCAGATCTTATAGAAACAATGCAAACAAAATGTACTGATATTGACAGAAAGTTATGTGTTTTACTAGTAATTGATGGGGCACCAATTATTTACTTTTCATTTACACTTTAAGGTAAACTCAACAAAAATGGTAAGAGCACATTTACAAATGTTTATTGCTATGCAAGAATGGTTATAAATAGTATTCTGATAATATATAATAAGTACTTTAGCTTGATTATAAGCATTACTTGTACTAGTCCTCTGGAGTCTGAGTGGAACTACTCTGACCACTCCTCTCTTCCTCTCTTGTCCTTTATCAGAATTCACTCTATCTATGGACCTTGTCTGCTGTGGTCCAGTTGATCTTCTGTTCATTTGTGTCCTCTAAGGGTCTGCCTGCTGGGGCGCCAACTATATACTGGTTGTCCATAACTGCTGACATAGAGCGTAGAAGGCCTAGGCAACATTATAGGCTCTATCGTTGGGAGGGCCTTGACCACCTATAGTGCACCCTAATACCCTCTAGTTAGAGGGATAGAGGGGGGTACTCTCTCCCTCTAACTAGAAGGGGTTGAGCTAGTAGCAGGCACCCCCGCTAAATATGGCTCCAATACCGGTCTTGGTAGCGGGGAAAGAGGCCCGGAGGCTGCCATCACCCTCCCGGCTGCCTCCCGGCCCCCGCCCACTGTGCGCTGCCCGCCGCTGCCCCCATGGCCTCAGCGTCGTCATCACAATCGTGACTTATGTCACCGATCGTTGATTGACATTGCCGATCGCCACCCGCTGTCGTCGGCCCTGTCGTCCGGCCGTCCCCGCTGCTGTCTAATACCCCGCCGTCACCGTCAAATAGTCCGCCGTTGTTGTCCTCGACGTTGCCCTCAATGGTGAGCTCAATTCTTCATCAATTCAAATGAAATAAATTGATTTCTGACAAAACTTGATGATCACAACATGATGGCAGTGTCATTGATGTCATCTACTGATCCCGCCCTCCCCCGACGCCCGCCCGACACGCCCGACATGCCTCCCGACCCCTCCACCCTCAAAAATGAAAAAGTTGCAGAATGTTGGGAAAATGATCCCAGTACAAACCGCTACTTTGTTCGTTTAAGAGATATTAATAAAACTTATTTTTTGTCGGTGGACTATTTGACAGCGGCAGCGGGGTGCTAGACACCGGCGGGCAAGAAGCTCCACGGCCGACAACAGCGGGCGGCGATGGGCGACGTCAATCAGCGATCGGTGACATAAGTCACGATCGTGACGACGATGCCAAGGCCATGGGGGCGGTGGCGGGCAGCGCGCACAGTGGGGCGGGGGCGGGGAGGCAGCCGGGAGGGTGATGGCAGCCTCCGGGCCTCTTTCCCCACTACCAAGACCCCCCTTGGTAGCCATATTTTGCGGGGGGGGTGCCCGCTACTGGCTCAACCCCCTCTAGTTAGAGGGAGAGAGTACCCCCCTCTATCCCTCTAACTAGAGGGTATTAGGGTGCACTATAGGTGGCCTTGACAGACCAGAGGATGCAGCAAACCTAGCGGTGTTTTTGGGGCTAACAGGATACTTTAGAGACCCAATCAAAAATTATGCAAGGCTGGATAAGCCGTTGCACGATTTGCTAGCCAAGGCAGATGTACCAGCGGGTGCCAAGAAACCAGTATACCAAGCAGCAATAAGGGGGGTTTAAACTTGCACCCTTGTGGACAATGGAACACTCAAAAAAAAGTGTTCATAGGCTTCAAGAACACACTCTTATCGGAACTGGTCTTGGCGGGTCCCAACTATAAAATACTCAACAAGAACCCGTTGATCATCATGACAGATGGCAGTAAAAATGGCTATACAGGAATCCTATCACAAAGAATACCAACAACACTACTGGGAGAAAAAGTAGTCAGGAGGCACCCCATCGCATTTGTGTCAAAACAGATATCATATGCAGAACAACAGTATCAGCCCCACTGATTAGAATTCACTGCACTGAAGTATTCATTAGACAAGTTCTTGGATATAGTTTAGGGCTAGCCAATGAAACTGGAAACAAACTGGCTGAGGGACATCATAATCAATAAAAAACTCAATATTACACACACTCGATGGTGAGGTGACATCTTGGACTATAACATTGTTGGAGCAGAACATATCAAAGGCAAGAACAATGTGGGAGCCCATGCCTTATTGTGAGCAAACAAAGGAAGGTTGAGTGAAGATAGAGATGAAAGCAAATGGACAGTATGGCCATACTGGGAGGTGATGCTGGGCCTGGTAAATGACATATTCTCAGTTCAGATGGCAGATGGGGATTGTCTGGTGATGCTGGTACCAGAGAGAACGGCGGAGCTAAGAAAGAGATTAAAGGATGAACCTGTGTACCTGGCACTATGTAGGGGTAAAAGGAAGAGGTTGGAAGAATGGGGAGTGGAGGAGGGCGGCGGGGCATTGGGCCTGAACGGTGCCACAAGGGTGGCCTGCCAGCCCGGTCCGAACCATGACAATAATGGTGCCGAAGAGCAGCAATAGTGTTACATGCATGCAAATATGTGTACCAGCTATATATAGTGGAAGTGCATATGATCAGTATCTGGTTATAGTGGTCTTTTTGCCCAGTTAGATTCTGTGTTAGTGCTTCTGCATGGATTTCACTAATAGCTTCAAAACCTCTATATAGATATTGCCTTGCAATATATGTAGGGGGGGGGGAATCTAGGCAGGAGCAAGAATGGGGGCGAAACGGTGCAGGTTAGAGCTCCCAACCGTCCTATATATAGGGACAGCTGTCCAATATTACGGTTGTTAGTAAGCACTGATGATTGTCTGCATTTAGCAGAAATTTTGTCCCAATTGCCTAAATAAAGTGAGATGGGCACTGCTGGTTGATATCCGGGCTTCCCACGTCTGTTACCCGTCCTGTATAGGGAGGGACCAACACTGCCGACAGTACAGGTCCCATACTGTAATTACAGCACTGTAGACCCATCAATAAACGGGGACAGTTAGGAGCCCTAGTAATTCAAGTGAAGATACTGGATCACATATTTCACAACTTTATGCCAGCAGGAGCACTTATAGTAGATAACGGGGCACACTTTGTCAATAATGTGGTCAAAGCAACATGCAACAAGTCTTGCCTAGAGGCAGCCTGGACCTCCCACCTGTGTAGCCCAATACCCACTGTGTACTATCTAGTCCACCCCAGCGGGGTGTCGCAGATAAGCCATGCTGCTCTCAGCATTGCCATAGAACTGAATAAACCTTGGAAAGGGAACTGAATAAATCTGAGCAGTTCTTAGGTTTTCACCATTTTTCGCACCAAGTCCACATGACTGGCTATTATCACCTCACTCATGGTATAAATAATTTTAAATAGACTGGGTATTCCTAGTAGCATTGTATATAGTTTAGCTTATTAGTATATGTATAGCTATCATATAAGTGTATTCTGATATGAATAATAATGAATAGTAATGAATAATTCAAACCCTCTAGAGACTTGGGTTGAACTCAGCACCTGGGTTACATGTGTGTCATGATGTGTGACAAATTTCCCCAAAAGGAAATTTTCACTATTTGACTGTACAATCATCAGAGAATGTCACAGATTGTCACAAAATCAAAGTTGTGTATTTTGGCTATACAAACAACTTTCATTAAGTGACCTATAGTCGCAACTGAATTATTGTATTACTAGAATTGGCCAATTATTAGCTGATCTACACCTGAGTAATATATCAGCAAGTGGATAACTTATATAGGTAATTAAAGCACTACCAAGGGTACCTAAATGATAAGATCAATATCCAGGACAATAAAATGTTATTTGCATAGCTATATTATGCTATGGTGATTTATCACCTACATTGACACTGCAATATCTCTACCAATCCTGCATCAAGTGAGTTGATTTCTGTACTGGTAGGTAGGTAATAACGTAGTGTCGATATGCTCTGATGTGATCATGCTTATATATGTTGAGACTATGACATTATACCACTCTTTGGTAGTTGTTATATTTCAAATTTGATTAAACTCAATGATCACTTGATATCTTACTGGGAACTTCATGGATAAGCATAATCTAAGTTGCAATGTGGTCTAATAGATGTATATCATAGATATGGGAGCCCCCATAATTTTAGGTATCGTGTCTATCTGTATATATGACATATATTCTATCACACCGATCTCCCAATAACTTACTTAGAAGTGAGGGATCCCCAACACAATAAGAGTAGGAAGCATACGGAGGGGTCCCCCTACGAGATTAAATTTCCCACACCACATTATATACATACGAAATCTTGTTATTCCCTATTATAATAATGAATAGTACTGCACATCATATTGGCAATACAGCTATGATCTGCCAGTTGATTATAGATCAAATATGTGAAACTTGGCAAATGAGGTGTATACATCTACCTACATACTCTGATTGATCTCTATATATTCTTGGAGGATGAATTGGGGTGAATACTCCAAGATGAGTTGAGTGCAGAACTGGTTTACATGAATGGTAGGGTCTATAGACTGAGTACTGGACATTGAGATGCATGTATGAGGATATTTGGATGTCTAGTAGGACCCCATACTATAATCCATCATGGTTCTGGCATGTATTACAGAAGGTAGCTGAAGAGAGGGTAGGTACCCATAGAGCAAAAGAGAGTGTCTTCGCTATTACAACTGGTCAGAAATTAATTTCAAGTATGATGCAAGACTTAGATATAAGATGGTATAGACCTTCAAATGAACCTGTCCAGCACTTGAATCAGCCTCATAGCTATTCTGGATCTCTCACAGTACCATTATCAGTGTTATCTATCCCAATAATGATGAGTTCATCATAGCATGACCTTTGCAAGTCTGGGAAATCTGAGTCTATTCACTAGTAGGAGTATGGTCCACCCTCTAGAAACTGGTGCCTGTACCCCTCTAGCATATCTCTATCCTGGGTTATATAGCACCTAAGGTCTCTATTAATTGACTGGCCCCAGCATTTGCCCCATGGTGGAAAATGAGTAAGGGTGTGCTAGGCTATCCTATGATATCATATCAACTTAGATCATGAGATTCCATGCATGTAGTCTTAGGATATCACCAAAGTACTGCTCAATTTAGTATTCAGGCATGCTTGGCAGTAAATAGATCAGGGCAATAGTGACAAAAAATATAACTGATGTGGCTCAAGGATAGTAGGATAGTATACCTTTCAAATGAACTCTATTTCAACTGTATCCACCAAGGCTAGCTGGAGATCTGTGCCCATCTTTCAGAGGTGATGGAGATCAAATTCTACTGATGAGTGAATGTATTGTATTATCAGTGCCATAGTCACTGGGAGTGAGGAGGGTATACACCAGGGGGTTTTGTTAGAGTAGCTAAACTTACAAGTCCGTCACCTTACATTGTTAAAGTACTAGATATTCTCTTTTTTATTACCGAATGATCAATATAGTAATCATATCATATGATGATGATCAAAATACTTTATAATCAATACTTGCCTTTGATACCCTTCCTGCTAGCACTTGATTCATGTATTTAGGTCGAGCAGCTATTGAGATAGGAGCCCATCAGTTAAATACGAGCTTGTGATGGGTCAGTGCTAACACATTTATTAAGCCACCACTATAGGTTACTTAATGAAAGGTGTTTATATAGTTACAATACGCGACTTTGATTTGTGACAAAGTGTGACACTCTCTTATGATTCCACTATTAGACTGTGAAAATTTCCTTTTTGGGAACTGTGTCATCCTTGTAACCTAACAGTATATATGGAGCTGATCTGGGCTGCACAGGTGTCTGAATTTCACTTACTATTAGGACCTGGTATACAATTTCCTTTTTGAGTAGTCCATGATTACACAGAACTGACTCCTATACTTGGGTATATAATCACTATTGAACATTATTCATACTATGAGTGAGGTGATAATAGCCAGTCATGTGGACTTGGTGCGAAAAATGGTGAAAACCTAAGAACTGCTCAGATTTATTCAGTTCCCTTTCCAAGGTTTATTCAGTTCTATGGCAATGCTGAGAGCAGCATGGCTTATCTGCGACACCCCGCTGGGGTGGACTAGATAGTACACAGTGGGTATTGGGCTACACAGGTGGGACCTCCTAGCAGGGGAGGATCCAAAGCGTGAATAAGAGCTACGGAAATACACGGAGGGACCGACCTAGCAGGGGAGGATCTAAAGAGAAGAAACTCTAAGGGTCCGCCTGCTAGGGCGCCAACTATATACTGGTCGTCCGTAACTGGTCTTGACGGATCGGTGATTGTGCGGGTGAAGGAGGCTGGGGACGAGGGTCGGGGTAGGTCGGAGTGTCCGAGGGGGCGGCGGTCGGATGCGCCTCGGATGCGCTCGGACGGTCCGAAGGAGGCCGAAGCAGGGGTTCCCCTGACATTATTATAGATCTAAAGTAGTTGATTAAAGAATATTGGCGCCCATTCATGATCATGATGACAGCCTCAGACGAGTCAGTAAATTCTGCTCACCAAAATATCAAACAGTGCACATTGCCTGATGAGTCAACTTGAATACCATGTGGGCCAGGTTGGTAGTCCACTTATAATTAATTATGATTAGCCCGCATGTCTGTTTCGAGATAACCACCAATAACAGCACTATCAGCACCATAGAATGCAGAACAGATACCAGAACGAGGTGTTACCACTTACTCCGAGTCGGCTCACAGAATCTACTTTTAGGCGGTGCCGGCGGCGACCGAAATATGTCGGAAACTTTTTTTGATCATGATCAGGCACGTGCCTGAGACTGATCGGGTCAGCGGCTGACCAACCACCGATCAGACGCCACGTCACTGACCAGCGGCTGGCCAGATGCTTGCGTCGCTGACTAGCGGCTGGCCAAATAGTTGTGTCGCTGGCCACCCCTGGTCTGGTAGCTATTAATATGTATATTCTTCGTTAGCTAAGCAACCGCAACGATGGCATAGTGTGCTACAGGGCTATCATAGTGATTTAAGCCGAAAAAACATATCAGTGTCTACGATGTCCGCTGCCAAGTACTCCAACCCGTCGTTCCTCCCAAAATCTGGCGCCAAATACACGCCACGGATAATCGAGTGAACAGATATGAATTCGGTTTGTCGTCGTGGCTTGGACCTGAAGCGAATGAGGCCAAGATCTTGATCTTTTTGAGATGCCGGTCTTGGTATCGGTGCGTCGTCTACGGTTGGACCAGCGCAAATGGCAATATTTTGTCCTTGAATTTGCAGGAAAAGATAAATATCAGGCGTGCCACGATAATGCCATCCGTTGTCTGCACGAATGCGGCATCGTAGCGAGCTCTGCCATGGAATTGAGGGGAGCATCGAAGATAATCTGCTTCTCCCGCCCAACTATCAAGGGAGGGGAAGTGGACCTTGAGAAAGCTATAGGGTTGGATCTTTCAAAGCGTTCAGCCAGAATCAGAGCAAGGAAGCCGGCATACCTCATCTGTCGGCTGTAAAGTTGTCCGAGGGTGATCTTGGGAAACGTAGTCGAAAGCAAGAAGAAAATTGTTGAAAAACGACGTAAAGCGGGTCCTGAAGTTTTTAAAACCAGCGTCTTGAGCCATTTTGGTTTCAAGGCTAAGAAATGAGACTTTATCACGTTTACCACCTATTTCGCTATTGCCAACTTGCTCTGAGTCGGCAACGTTACAGTTGTTGCCGTCCTTCGACACATCTTCCTTTCTTTTTGACAACGCAACAGATTCATCAATGTCGTCGATTTGCTCTCGTATCAGAGTGGCGACAGTGCTTCGATGAACAAACTTCAAGATCTATCCAAATTGTAACGCCCGGGTTGGACACTGACCTGAAATCATGAAATACACACACCTGAGGACCCACATTCTTTTTGTTGGTAAGATTGAGATAAGCGTCGCGAATGGGTCCATGCATAGACTCGTCAATGTTTGTGCTGAAGTTTCGTGATGCCCCTTTACGAATAATATCGTCAAATGCGTGCAAAAGCAGGTGAATTTTTGGGAAATTCCAGTTTTTTGCGAATTCTGTCCCAATACAAGCTTGAGAATACTCCTATTACCATCCGGTTACTCAGATATTGGATTGACAGCTAAGCAACGCACCTGAATAAGCCTTCCAAATCGCTTGACTTCCTCTCTCCCCTGCTGGATTGTGTTCGCAGTTTGAATTTTCAATGCAAGATAGGTGTCGATGACAACAAAGCTGCGAATACATCGCAGCAGCAGTTGGAACCGACGATCGCCTGGTAGCAAATTATGGGCTGCGTGAGCGTCATCTTCGCAATGTCACAATGTTTACCGCCATCGTTGAAAGCAATGTTCAAACACTGCTAAAGTGGTTGAGATTACGCCAGCGTGGCAGCGCATCGAACCTAATAGCATCCGTTATCTCAGTCAATGTATGGGATGGATGGGATACACACTGTTCATCCAATTTTGACAAGTGCCGACTTCCTGCTTTTTCAAGATGAAGCTTCAGCTGGGGAAAGAGGTGATGGCCCCATATTCCGCTGTGATTTGTATGGAGCCGATCAAAAGAGTAGGCGTGGTGAGGGTCTGAGTAAGCGAGCTTCCAAAAAACATTCTTGAACGGGAAATTAGTAAATTCTGAATCTAGCTCCATGACTCGGAGGCGAGGAATGTCTGGCTTACATTGACCTTTCGCAGTCCTACATCTCGGAGAATTTTTTCGTGCTCTCCCTGCAAAGCTCCAGGCTGCTGAGCTGCAACTACTAGGTTCTCGGAGTCGGCTGCTGTCCGAAGTGTTGCCATCACTTCAAAATCAGATAAGTCGCTGGTTTTGACAAGACAGATTGGACAGGGAAATAGTGCCTTCACCCCTCGAGTAAGTGTCATAACGGTTCTAATTGGTGTTAGTTCGAGAGAACATGGAAACACAAACTGCTTACGCCTCTTCATAGTCGGCCACGAGCATAAGAACCAGCGGATGAAGCCAGCGACTTTGTCCATCCCCACAACGGACCCAAATTCCAGTCTTGGAGTACGCTTCGATCGATTCAATCGGCTTGTAAAAGGCCTCGTGCCACACAGCATTTTTGAAGTTTGTATATTGAGGTTTGCCCGACTCCTTAGAGTCTTCATCAATCTATGGACTCGGATGTCAGATCTTGGGGACTGCACATACGTCAAAACAAGATACGAACAACAGGAAGCCATCCAACAATCTGCCCTCCACCCCATTTTGTGCCGTTACGAATATGGACTGGCAGACATCCCAGGCGAGCAATGATTGGGTAGCCCTTTTGTGTACCAAAAGGTGACAGCTTGGATTTGTCTGCGTATATGATGTAGGGAAATAATTTGGCTTGCGGATCATTTGGAAGACAGGACTGGAACGTTGTGATCAAGTTAGAGGATTGGCGGTCAGTGGCATTGATAGAAATATACCTGAATATTCCAACACGCAGATCCTGTCCAAGGTTCGGTGTAGAAAGGAACCCACTGTTGGCCATCGAATCGGAAGAGCCTCTCCGCATCCCAAGAGATAAAGGAAGCAACACGTGGGTCTCGAATGAGGTCGAGGCTCCACTGCCATAACGGTCGCACGAACATGGTGAATTCATGGTCTTTCTTCTTGTACTGGACATCGATTGTGCGTTCTTCAAACTGAATCAAAACATGAGAATTCTGAGTCTCAAACGACTAATCCTCACGTTGGTACATTTCTTGCTTGCTTGCTCCCAGCATTTATTCATCTGCTTGGCGTTGCGAAGTGTGAAGGTGTCGATGCAGCTGGAGGTTCGCCGGATTAAAGAGATTAGGGTATTGATGGCGTTGGTGTCGAGCATGTTCACGGTGGCAAAACTCAGCCACCTCGAAATCGATGCGGCTGTTGAATGCTGGCCTCCAGGGTGTTTTGTTGGGCAAAGGTCGCTTAGAAGGCTCCGTTTCTGAGAGGTATTCCTGTAGCGACATCTTTTTGGGGGCTGCGCTTGCTGTGGGGGTGGAACTGCCGACGAACATCCCCAACTATCGGCAGATCGTCGTTGTTTGGCAACACCTCTGGTCCTGGATTCAGCTCGTTATTGACATCATTGGCTTCCAACCCATGTTCGCTGCTATTATCAACATCTGTATCGGAATCCATAGGTTAGCGGTGTTAATGAGCATCGAATTTAAAGTGAGACTGACCACAACCAAGTGCCACCCCTGCGAGTCTCCGAGTAGGCTGTGATGGCTGGCAGTCGACCACAAAATCAGGCCCAGGTAGCTCTTCGGAATCAGATGGTTGAGTTGCTAGAGAATCGATGGTCAGTTGTCGATTATTCAGAACAGCCAGAGCTGAATTTAAAGTTGTTGAACGAACATTCGCCATCTACGGCCTGTAGGCCTGAGTTTTCCGGACCGAGAATTATCCCCACATCGTTGCTCAACTCAGGCAGCATCTCGGCAGCGATGTTTAGTTGAGGTTCAAGTTCTGTTATTACGGTCCAGGTATTATTAATATGGTGTTCACAGTCGTAAATGATTCAGAGCATACCAGCCATTTGGTGAGGAGGAACAAGAGGCAAAGCAGCCAGAGGGCGAGTAGCCATAAGAAGAGCAGTATCAAAGGCAGCGCTCTGAGCATCCTCTGCCTTTTTTCGTCGGGCATGCGTCTTCATGTCGATGGAATCCCTTGATATGGAAGTACTTGCCACAAATGGAGCAGGGGCGTCGAGTAAAGTCGATAACATCCAGCGTTGCTGCAGCAGTTGCCGCAGGCATTGTCGACGGGCCAGAGATGCGCGTGAATGGACGTGACGGCGAAATCAGAGAACGTTAAGATTAAACAGCACGTGATCATTGACACTTTGAATCTGAATCGTTCAGTCGCTCAACAGGCTTTTGGCTGGCTTCCATGGCCAACCCCTCTGGATCACAAACCATGCTTGCAAAAGATGGCACTCAACTGCCAGAGGCTCTTTCTCTTATTAAATTCTCACCTTTTGTGCCTCAAACCACTGACGATTTAGATGCAGCAGTTCTCAAGCTGTTTAAACCACTGGCAGATTTTGGACCTGAATACAGTGCGATAGCCTGCTCTATCCCCACTTGTTTCTCCTAATAAGCCGCTATTCACAGGCCCAGAGCGCTACCTGCAAGATCTCAACTCGGAAGCTCTGAATCGTAACCATGCTTTGGAGGAGCAGGTTGCTCTACTGACGCTGCAGCTAAAAGAGGTTCAGGCTAAGGCTTCTCACGAGTGTCACGGATAAATACCTGTACTCTACCTGCGGGTAATTTAGGCTTCAAAACCAATACCTGCATTTGCAGCATCCGTGGGAAACGGGTACCTGTACTCATGGATACGGGTACCTGCACGGGTTATCCATGGGTATTTTGAATAACATATTAGGATACTGAGGTATATTGACAATATTAAGAGCTTATATAGAGTATAGTATCAAGTAATATACTGATATGGACACTACAGGGCATAAGAAGACTGTAGTGACTGGAATATATAGAAGATAATGAAAATTAAGATCTTCTAGAGTCATACCTGTACTCTTGGCATCTGTGGGAAACGGATACCTGTATCCGCGGATGTCAAACCTGCGGATGTTTTCCTGCAGGTACCTGTGCAAACATCCGCGGGTGTTGACACTCGTGCGGAGCTTTAGTTCAGGCCAGGAATGAGATGGAGATGGAGAGGTTAGTGAATTCAGCCATATCATCCCATTGACGATTGGTTGCTGACCTGAGATTCCAGCGTCCAAAAGCGCGAAGCCATATGCTAACAGCACCTCAACTTCCTCAACCAGCAACTATTGACCCGTTCATTGACAGGGCTATATAAAATGTCGGTGCGTCAAAATGTTCTGTAAACATTTCAGGCTTGGCTGATGTTTCTGTAGCTCCCGTTGATCTTCACTGTGATCAACGGCGACATGCTGTTATTTCGTCATTTAAGCCGTGCTTTCAACGGTGGTATCGATACAGCGGCTACTCTGATGGGAAACATCATGACCTACCTCGAGCAAAATTGCCCTGAAGCTCACAGCGCAGTTTCTCACTTCATGACGGTATTCTATAACCGCCGGCAGCTCCTAGAACGACTGAGAGCCAGAAGGATTTGCACATTCCAGCAATTCGACCAGTTTTTGACGGTACGTCGATTCCATTTGAATCAGGTTTGAGTCATCATTGAGCTGATATTGAACATCAGGGATTCAGCGTCTCCCATGAGGGCTTCTCCTTTGTCGATGTTAGTGGCCTTGAGCTTACAGAAACTAAGATCAGCGGTCAGTCCCGTTCTCATATGTGTTCAACGTATTGCTTAAAACCATGCATTGAAGCCTACATCAACGCATTCATTCGATTGCCTCAGACTCTTCAAATCTTCTTTGCCGGCCGTGCGTGTTATTTCCTACCCATGTTCAACCTCTAGCTAAGTTCAAGTCGAATAGGCTGCAACAGTTATTTTCGCCAGTCGTTCTTGAAGGCCCATATCGGAAAGGAACTCCTCGACAAGCTTGTGATCATCAGCCCAAATCCCCGATTCGACACAAAGATCGGAGCTCCTTTGTTGGTAATCCACAACGTGTTTGTCAGCCAGAGCACGGCTGCAGCCTTGCCGAGATCCAAGAGCAGCTTGTGCAGGGGCTCAGAAGGTCCGTTGCTGCAGTAATAACTGAGCGACTTGTGGTTCAGAAGACAAGTGATTGAATATGCTCACGAATTCGTGAGCCTGGATTAAGGAGGCTTTTGCTACAGTCGCTGCTTTGGCTTGAATATTACTTAGTGCTTGACAGAGAGAACCGCACCAATGACGCTTCAAGTTGTATGTTATATAGGCTTCAAATACAGTCTGAACTGTGAACGATTCAGACTCCAAACACGTGCGGTCGATACGATTCTCGAATGAGTGTACATGTCAGATTGAAAAGTCTGGATAGATTCAGATTGTAAGGGCAACCCCGGAGGCCTGAGATCAAGGTCCTAGCAGGGGAGGATCCAAAGGCGTGAACATTGGTAAGCGAATACAAATGAAGCTGACCTAGCAGGGGAGGATCCAAAGAGAAGAAACTCTAAGGGTCCGCCTGCTAGGTAGCTGACTATATACTGCTTGTCCGTAGCTGCCGCTGTCGGGCACAGAAGGCTTGGGCGGCGTCACAGGCGAGGTCCCAGGGCGACCGTCGGGAGGGCGTTGACGGATCGGTGATTGTGCGGGCGAGATGGAGGGCCGGACCGGAGGCGGAACCGGAGTCGGACCGGAATCGGAGGCGTCTCCGAGGGGCCGAAAGGGAGGTTCCCCTGACATCACCCCCCCCTTTGAATGCGGCGTCCCGACGCATAGACCGGAACGGAATCGAGTCGAAGGTCGCGGAGGCGATGTGTCGTGGCTTGCCAGGGTACTTACGATAGAACTCCGCAATTTTCTCCGGGGCGAAGACGCGGTCGAAGCGGACCCATTGGTCGTGCGATGCGTCGTAGCCTTTCCATCTGACGAAGTAGTTCAGCTGTTTATACCTCACCCTTGCGTCCAGGATTTCCTCTACTTCCCACTCCGGGACTCCGTCCTCGAGGTCCGGAGGGGCTGGTCGTAGCCGGGGCGTCCGTCGAAGGGGGTCGTCCTGAGCGAGCTCGAGCTTGACGACGGGGAAGACCGGGTGGAGCTTCGAGTAGCGCGGAGGGAGGTCGAGCTTGTAGGCACCTTTGCTGATCTCCGCGACTATCTTGAACGGTCCAAGGCGGCGATGGGAGAACTTTTCCGAGGGGCGAGTCGTCCTGATGTCAGAGGCATCCAGCCAAACACGGTCGCCAACCTTAAACTCCGGAGACGGAGTCCGTCTCCGGTCGTAGTAGCGCTTGTACTCCTCCTTGGCCTTAGTGAGCGGCCTTGGCTTCAGCAACACCAGTGGCGATCCGGTCGCGGAACTCGTTCACTGACTCCATGGCGGAACGGACTCCGGGTTCGAAGCCCATGCGCGGGAGCCGTCCCGTGTCCGTCATGAAGGGGACCTGCTGCGTGGAGGAGTGAACATGGTTGTTGTGTAGGCGAACTCCGGGCCGGAATCAGCTCATCCCAGTCGTCCTGCTGGTAGTTGGTGAAGATCCGCAAGTACTGCTCCAGCTCCTGGTTGACGCGCTCTGTCTGACCGTCTGTCTGCGGGTGGTATGCCGTGGACGTGGCGGGCTTGATGCCGATTAGACGCCAAAGTTCTCGGGTGAAGTCCGCGATGAACTGCGAGAGCCGCGGTCGGAGACGTACTTCTCCGGAGTCCCATGGTGCCGCCAGACATTCCGGTAGTAGAGGCGGGCTGCCCCTACTGCATCGACCGTCGTATGACACTCCGAGAAGTGGGCGCGCTTTCCGAGGGTGTCAACGACGACCATGATCGCGTCGTACCAATGGGCTTCGGGAAGCTCTACGATGAAGTCGACGGAGACGGTATGCCAGCGTTCCGGGGGCGTTTCCGTGGGATGCAGCTCTCCGTGGGGCAGTCTCCGGAGTGCCTTGGTGCGACAGCACAAGTCACAGGTCGCGACATACCGGCCGATATGGCGAGACATCTGAGGCCACCAGTAGTTCCGGGAGACCAACTCCAGGGTCTTGAAACGACCTGCGTGTCCGGCGACTCGGGTGTCATGGCAGAGCTCGATGATGCGTCTCCGGAGGTCCTTGTCCTTTGGTACGACGATCTTTCCTCGGAAATGGAGAAGACCACCGGAGACGGCCCACTCGTCAGAACGTGAGGAGCGGGGGCCTCGAGCTTGACCTTGAACCTTAAGAAGTTGCCGGGCCGCTAGTGCGACGGGCTCCTCCAGGTCAGGCTCACCGGAGAGGGCATCACGGATGTCG